CCTTATATCTACAAGTTCAGATGCTAGCTGACTAAATAATGCTCTGGAGTGTCAACATGGCATGAGATAAAAGAGAAGCTATGAGGACAATAAATAAAGCAAGGAGGGCTGTTGTGTGTGTGTGTGTGTGTGTGTGTGTGTGTGTGTGTGTGTGTGTGTGTGTGTGAGTGTGTGTGTGGGTGTGTGGTCACGGCCAGAGCTGCAGCCGGCCGCCCCGCTGAAAGAGGAAACTCCACCTTTTAGGAAAGGAAGAAAAGCCCCTGTGTTATTTTAACAATGGGTTGATGAACTCTCCTCTGTGTGTCCTGCCGTCTGGTTCAGGCCAAACACAATTCCAATATGTCTTCAATGTTTTTTAGACGATCACCAGAAAAGTAATTGGAAGCTTTTTTTGCTAATCTGTTAATCGTTAAAGTCCTTTTTCTTTCTAAAATGTCAGGAAGTGCCATTTCCAATTGCTCAAATATGGATATTTCTTGCTTTTCTGTATTTTATCCCTTATTCAAGCGAATATATTTGGGTTTCGGACTGAGAAAAAAGACATTTGACGAAACTAGAAGGGATATTTCTATTATATTTAACCCAAATGATTAATCAATTAATCAAGAAAAGAATAGGCGGGAAAGCTGCAGCTCTATTTGTTTTATCATTCACTGACAAGACATTCCTGTTGATGATTTGATTCCATGTTTGAAAGGAAAGGAAGATAAGCCCCTTTGTTATTTAAACAGCGAGTTTATGAACTCTCTGTCTGAGTCCAGCCATGATTCCAATTTGTTAAAATGTTTACAAAATGCCAGAGCGCCGAGTGACAGAGCTGCTGGCTCCGACACAATCATAAACGCCTCGGAGACGCCGAAACAGAACAACAACACAAAAGCGTAATTAGTCTGGAGGACATCGTCCAAGATTCTCGTGTAGGAAAGTTGCGGTCGGCGTGGAAACCGCAGCTCCCCGTTCACTTGTTGTATAGGAGTGTCTGCTAAGTTGTTTGAAGCCTAAAATAACACAGCGCACACCGCATCGTTTCCAGATGTGGGGGCAGACCACCGGCTCGGGCATGGCCTCCTGAAACGTCTGAGCTTTAGGGGAAATTGTGCCTGAAAATAAAAAACGGTGCAGTAATGAGCTCCTGGCCAAATGGAGGGAAGTGCCATCCCTAATCACTGAGAACATAGCTGGGAGCGTGGCTGTGGAGCAGGAAAGCAGAGACAGGATGGGTGTGTGGGCCCTGAAGGCACCACGCTCCTCCCTCTGCCCCTCCGTGCTGTCTTCAGGCAGCTCACACACACATCCATAATTATGTATATAAGCTTAATGCAAGCACAAAATGAGTTAAACCTGTTTTATTTAGCTTTTTAAGAACTTTATTCTCTTATTACTAAAACATACCCGCTTTAGATGTTATATAGAGTCAGTGGTGGAATGTAATACATTGACTTTGAAGTTCTGTACTTAAGTTAAAACTTGAGGTCCTCCTAATACTCCACTACATCTTAAATTAATTAAGGTTCATTGTATGTTAATGTAATAGTATTTAATATGTATAGCATCAGCTGGAAAATGCGACAGCTTGCTGAAAACCAGGTATTTTTCCTGAGATATTCAGAAAAAAGTAGAATTTTCACAAACATATCATTTATTTAACCAGGTATTTAACCAGGTAAAAGTCTCATTGAGATTACAAATCTATTTTTCAAGAGCGACCAAACCATATTGATGAGGCCTTGCTATAGAATAAACAACCCAACAGTGTGTGAGGAGATCAAATGAGAGCAACCATACAGATGTAAGGCTGTACAAAGCTGCCTTAAAATAGTAAAAACCTGACAATGCTTTATTGTTATGCAATTGAACTTAGGTCTGAACGCAAGTCTTTAAAGGTCCCATGTCATGGCCATTTCCACTGATCATAATTCCATTCTTGAGGTCTACTAGAATAGTTTATTGTGCAATTTTCCAAACTCACTTTGGTTTCTCATACAGCATCTCTGTAAACTACGTGTATTCACTGAATTTCACTATCTGCCTTTAACAGCTCGTTGTAGCTCCAATAGCTCCAGCCCCCACCCTCCCTGTGACGTTGTGAATCGCGCTGAGCTCCGTGGAGGTGTGGTTTCCTTGTTTAGCGACAGCGAAACACAGCCAAACTCACCCTGAACACACACAAAGTCACAGCCGAAGTAAAAACAATAAGTGTGGCTTGATATTGAGTAAGAAAAAGGTTGATAAACGCTGTGAGAATGGGTCTGCAGAGAGAATTTCGCCACGATCCCAACTGTCTGTTATCAGCCTGCAGCCAGGGAGGAGAGATCAGCAGAGCTGCCTGCACTGTGTGTGTGCGTGTGTGAGGAAGTCCGTGGATTGGTTAATTTGGACCAATCAGCCTGGTCATAGCTCTTGGCGTGGCTACTGGGTATCCCTACGTAGCGATACCCAGAAAGTAAACAATGGAAAATGAGAAATCTCCAACGAGGCGTTTTGGGGTGTACTTTGAGGGTTTGTGACTCTGCAGACCGTTTACATGCATAAAAACCTTCATAACACACAAGGGGACGGGTAATAACCGGAAAAGCATGACATGGGACCTTTAAATCACGGTAAAATGTGTTCATTTTGTTGTAGCTGTAGCCCCCTTGCCAGCGATTCTCTCTGACTATTTGGCAGTCGAGAGTGTTTACGTCACTAGTTTAGCATATTCAGCCCGGTTGTTGGCCCGGTAGGAACCTCGATTTTGGAGGGCCAGAAAAAAGGTGAAAAAGTAGCCCTGAGCCGGAACTACCCCTAGTGGAAAAGCCAAAAAAGCTTAAACCGTGCTACGAGCTGAAGTGGAAAAGCGCCATTTGTGTACCCCTGATCAGTCCATATCAGGGGGTCAACTCAATTTCATGGCGGGCCACATCAGCATTATGGTTGCACTAAAAGGGGCGGTTGTAACTTTAAGACTATATAAATATACATATATAATATATATAAAATAATGTATTACATTACATTATTGCCTCTGCATTGTATTATTATCGGTTTTGGTAATAACTTAAAGGTCCCATTTCATTGCCATTTCCACTGATCATAATTCCATTGTTGAGGTCTACTAGAATAGATTTATATTGTGCAATTTTCCAAAATCACTTTGGTTTCTCAAACAGCATCTCTGTAAACTACGTGTATTCACTGAATTTCACTCTCTGCCTTTAACGGCTCGTTGTAGCTCCAATAGCTCCAACCCCCACCCTCCCAGTGAGCACAGTGTGCTCTTATTGGTTGGTTCACGTTGTGAATCGCGCTGAGCTCCGTGGAGGTGTGGTTTCCTTGTTTAGCGATACACAGCCAAACTCACCCTGAGCACACACAAAGTCACAGCCGAAGTAAAAACAATAAGTGTGGCTTGATATTGAGTAAGAAAAAGGTTGATAAACGCTGTGAGAATGGGTCTGCAGAGAGAATTTGGCGCGATCCCAACTGTCTGTTATCAGCCTGCAGCAGGGAGCGTGTGTGTGGATTGGTCAATTTGGACCAATCAGCGGGGGCTTTGCCTGCACTGTGTGTGTGTGTGGATTGGTCAATTTGTAATAACCGGAAAAGCATGACATGGGAGCTTTAAGTTGTAGTAGAGTATTTACACAGTACTTATACTTGAGTAAAGGATCCGAGTACCGGTACTTCCTCCAACACTGCACACAGTAGCACCATAACTCATGACCATGCTGCCCTGGCTCACACACTTCCAAACACACGTCGTCCATCCCGCTGCTCACCGTGTCCCAACATGTGTTCTCCACGTGTGTGCCAGCCGCCTGACAGGACGCAGCTTCTAAACGCCAACAGAAACCAGAGCACTTCATACAGAAAGCTAATTATGAGCAAAGTGTGGAATCAGCATGCAGTTCAATAGCATAATAATAACAATTGCATGTGTGCCCCGCAGCCACAGGCAGACCTGAGGCACTTGTGGAGTTACTTTGATCTGAAACTGATAGAAAAGCTGACTTTACTTTCCCCCCCAACCTCTTTATAATTCACACAAAAGTATGTCAGTTAGCTCGTTAGCATACGACACAATCGTTGTAAATGACGTAGCAGTGTGGATGAATCAAATGCTAGGCTCCGGTGTTAGGTTTAGGTTTAGGGTTAGCAGCCACAGAGGCAGACCTGAAGCACTTGTGGAGTGAATTTGATAGAAAAGCTAACTTTACCTTTTCAACCTGCTTTTTTTTTAACACAAATATATGTCAGTTGGTTCATTAGCATACAACAAAATCGTTGTAAGTGACACACGCCGACCCGGTTGGGATCAATCGAATGCTAAGCCCCTTCGTAAGGTTGCTTGTGGATTTATTTAGAATTTTTTTAAAAGCTGACTTTTTCCCCCTTCCTTTTTTTGTAAAACTCTAATCAAAATATGTGAATTAGCCTGTTAGCATACAACACAATCGTTGTAAGTGACACACGCAGACCCGGTTTGGATCAATCGAATGCTAGGCCCCTTCGTAGGGTTACTTGTGGATTTATTTAGAATTTTTTAAAAAGCTGACTTTACTTTTTCCCCCCTTCTTTAAAAAAAAAAAAAAAAAAACTCAAATCAAAACATGTCAGTTAGCTCGTTAGCATACGACAAAAAAAGGTTGCAAATCCCACAAGACGTCCCGGTGTGAACAAATCAAATGCTAGGCTCCGGTGATGAAGAACGCTGTCCCTTGTTGGGGTAGTAAATGAGCGTGGTACCTCATCCTGGCACCTCTCTACCTCCACCTCTCCTCCTGGCACCTCTCTACCTCCACCTCTCCTCCTGGCACCTCTCTACCTCCACCTCTCGCGGGTTAGAGCGCCACGTCCCCTACAGCTTTTCATAACGTGTTTCTCTCCTGCTTTCTGCCACCGCCAGGCCTCCTCTCCCCCCTCCTGCTCTGTTTCATGTAATGAGAAATTTGGCAGATCTCATCTCTTTAGTGGCTCTTTTGCCCAGGCTGTGAGCTGTAAAAGGGGGTGGGGGGAGGGGGGGCTCATGTTTTTGCCTTGTTTACAAGTGACAGCGTTATTATTCTCATAAGGGCTCTGTTTCTTATCGCCGTGTTGTGCCGAATGCGCCTCTCCTGCCAGCGCTTTTCTTCCTATTGACACTCGCTTGAAAATATGCATTAATTCTGGAGTTTAGAGCGCCGGTGTCTGGTCGCTGTGTTTGCTTGAAGTTGATTAATGATAGAAGCCGGCGCGGGGTCGTCCTCTGGAGACCCGCCTCGCAGGTTGTGCATGTTAACGAGCAGGAAGGGGAACACACAGCGCGCCACTGATCCTCCGCCACCAGGAGGCTGACAACGGCCGACTCCATTCTCTCCTGCGCTCCACTCACGCTGTTAATCTTCCTCATTTATCAATTCTAAGTGAATACCCTGTTGTCGCTTGCCACAAAAAAAATAAAAAATAAAAAGCCAGCAGCTTTTTACCGGGATGGGACTACCTCAAAAGAAAATTATCACGAGCACCAGCGAGGCTCTCAGTGAAGCCAGACATTTGTTTTTGTTCCCCTGTTTCCTCCTCTATAAACAGAATCAGGTCTCTGTCGTTTTGAAGGGTTATTAAAAAAAAAAAGAATTGGAGCCATATCTTCTCTCTGCTCTCCCTCCTGCAGGCATCACATTAAGGAGGAACCACTGGACCCCGAAGACCACGAAGGGCCCCTCTCCCTGGTAACGACCGCCAATCACAGTCCGGATTTCGATCACCACAGAGACTACGACGACGACCAGGGCCACGACGACATGCTGTAAGGCTAGCAGGGACCCCACCT